AAGGGCCCAGACAGTCGTTTCTCAGGCTTTCCAGGGTCCGCCAGAATCGCTCGCGTCGGCCTACCCCGCCCAGAAGGGCCCCAAAACGAGTACGGCTGGCTTGAAGAGGCCCCAAACATTGTCAAAGAGGGCCAAAAGGCCGCCCCAAGACCGCTCTAAGACGTTCACGATGGCCTCAAGTGGCCCAAGAGGCCTCCAAGACGCCCCGAGAGGCCTCCAAGAGGCCTCCAATAGCCCCCCGCAAGAGGCCCCCCAAGAGGACCCCCCAAAGGGGGCCTTCAATAGCCCCTCCAAGAAGCTCCCCAAGAGGTCCCCCCAGGAAGCAAAAATCAGTGATTGTCCCAAGGTTTGGGCTTTCCGACGTTCCAAGACGGCTCGAGAGGCCTCCACGAGGACCCCAAAATGATTCAGAAAGCACCAAGACGGCCCCAGGGGCGCCCAGGAAGGCCCACCCCAAGGCGGCCCAAAAAGGAGCCCAAGAGAGGAAAACCAAGTGGCACGCGCGCCATGGCTCTTGCACAGTGAGGAAGGGGGAGGAGGCGGAGGGGGCGCGCTGGCTGGTGAATGGGGTGATGGAGGGGGCGCTCGGGATGGGGGTGTCGGGGCGGAGGGGGCGCGCTGGCTGAAGTGGGGGGGGATGCGGAGGGGGCGCTCGGGGTGTGTGTGGGGGGAGGCTGTGCCGTGCCGAGATGAATGGGTCAGGGCGGAGGGGGCGGTGCCGCGCCAAAACAAAGGGGTCGGGGCGGAGGGGGCACGCTGGCTGAAGTGGGGGGGGATGCGGAGGGGGCGCGCGCGGAGGGGGCGAAGGGGGCGGTGCCGCGCCAAAACAAACGGGTCGGGGCGGAGGGGGTGCGCTGGCTGAAGGGCGGGGGGGGATGCGGAGGGGGCGCGCGCGGAGGGGGCGAAGGGGGGCGGTGCCGCGCCAAAATAACGGAGTCGGGTCGGAAGGGTGTGCCGTGCCGAAATAAATGGTTCGGGGCGGAGGGGCGCGCTGGCTTGTCAGTGGGTGGGCGGGGGGGGGCGTAATAAAGGGGTCGGGGCGGCGGGGCGCGCTGGCTGGTGGGTGGGGGGGATGCGGAAGGGGCGCGCGGGGCGCGCGGGGAGGGAGTGGGGGCCGTGCCGAAAGAAAATATCGCGGGGCGGAGGGGGCACGCCGGCAGGTAAGCGGAGGGATGCGGGGGGGGGGGGGGGGGCGTGCCGAAATAAAAGGGTCGGGGCGGAGGGGCGCGCTGGCTGGTGGGTGGGGGGATGCGGAGGGGGTGTGCCGTGCCGAAATAAAAGGTCGGGGCGGAGGGGTGTGCCGTGCCGAAGTAAAGGGGTCGGGGCGGAGAGGCGCGCTGGCTGGTGGGTGGGGTGATGCGGAGGCGGTGTGCCGTACCGAAATAAAGCGGTCGGGGCGGAGGGGTGTGCCGTGTCGAAGTAAAAAGGGGTCGGGCGGAGGGGCGTGCCGTGCCGAAATAAAAAGGGTCGGGGCGTAGGGGCGCGTTGGCTGGTGGGTGGGGGGATGCAGATGAGGTGTGGAAGGGGGTGCCGTGCCGACAAAAAAGGCGTCGGGGCGGAGGGGTGTGCCGTGCCGAAATAAAATGGTCGGGGCGGATGGGGGCGCGCCGGGGGGGGCGTGCCGAAATAAAGGGGTCGGGGCGGAGGGGGTTCGCTGGCTGGTGGGTGGGGGGATGCGGGGGGGGGTGCCGTGCCGAAATAAAGGGGGTCGGGGCGGGGGGGCGCGCTGTCTGGTGGGTGCGGGGATGCGGAGGGTGTGTGCCGTGCCGAAATAACGCGGTCGGGGCGGAGAGGTGTGCCGTGCCGAAATAAAAAGGGTCGGGGCGGAAGGGCGCGCTGGCTGGCGGGCGGGGGGGGGGATGCGGAGGGGGTGTGCCGTGCCGAAACAAAGCGGTCGGGGCGGAGGGGTGTGCCGTGCCGAAAAAAAGGGGTCGGGGCAGAGGGGCGCGCTGGCTGGTGGGTGGGGGTGGATGCGGAGGGCTTGTGGAGGGGTATGCCGTGCCGAAAGAAAAGGATCGGGGCGGAGGGGTGTGCCGTGCCGAAATAAAGGGGTCGGGGCGGAGGGGCGCGCTGGCTGGTGGAATGTGTGGGTGATGGAAGGGGTGCCGTGCCGAAATAAAGTGGTCGGAGCTCTAGACACCCTGTGCAAGAGGATAAACTGCAAATCCTAGCCTTCCGCCCCAAGAGGCCCCCAGGAGGCCCCAAATGGCGCTCTAAAGGCCCCAAGAGGCCCCCAAGAGGCCCCAAGAGGCCCCCAAGAGGCGCAACGTAGGCCCCAAAACGGCCCCACTGCCAGGCCCCCGAGAAGCCCCCCAAGAGATTCCCAACGAACATCCAACAGGCTTTGCACCCACAACTCAGGCACGGTGGCGGGATGGGCCGACAGCCACTAGATAGCTTGAACTCATCCCCGCCATGTTCTGGGAAACCGTTCCGGCCAGATACTCCAAGAACTTGGCGGGGAATCAAAGAGCGACTTGAACCCCCCCTCTTCAAGCAGCCCTCGTAACATCCCCTCTTCCCGCCATTGAATTGTTCGGCACTGAGCCAACCCCAACGCTCACGAAGTCGAAAAGGTCCAAAGGGAATCGCACGGAACCCATAAACGTCCCAGAATCCGTCGGGTCTGTTTCAGATCCTTCGGAAAACATCGATCGTCGACTCCGCCCATCACATGGCAAAGCCTTGGTGCGACGAGGATGCGTTTCTCCTCGCCGCGTGACAACGCAAGGCGGCGGAACCCCCCCCCCCACACACACACACACACACACACACACACACACACACACACACACACACACACACACACACACACACACACACACACACACACACACACACACTACTACTACTATGCTGTGCTCGTCACGTGGCAACGCAGGGGGGCACAAACAAGCAACGTTGTACTCGACCCTTCACTGGGCAAAACCTGGGAGAGGAACACCGGATTACCATTGTATCAGCTCCCCGCGCGGCAGCGCAGAGCTGGAAACATGCTGCTCCACACAACACGCCGCGCGCCAATGGATGGCGGCAAAAAACATAGCATTGTGGTTTTCCCGTCACTCGGCAAAGCCCGGGGGGAGGCGAACAAATACTGTTAGATTAAACTCGCAGCGTGGCTTCGCAGTGGCGCAAATTAATTTACTCGAAGCTACTCGTCGCTTGGCAGCGCAGGGGGGGCGGAACAACTAGGAGTCACGCGGCAACGCGGGCAAGCAAACCAAATAATATTCTTCTCTACTCGACAAGAGCGCGACAGAAGGGAGGAATGTCCCCTCGTCCCGTCCGTTCCCCCTCCTCGCCCCTCCGAATTTCCCCCCAACATTCGACCCTCAATGTCACTCTTCCTCCACACGCCAAACTCCTCCCCGCCATGTTCTGCAAAACCCGTCTAGCCAAGCACTCCAAAACATGGCGGGGAATCGAACAACAATTTTTGTCTCCCTTACCCCTCTCACTTCAGACCTCCCCAGCCCGACCCCCCCCCCCCCGACACACACACACACACACACACACACACACACACACACACACACACTTTCCGCCACTCTTGTCAAGTACCAAAAAATCCCCAACCCTCACGAATTGCAAAGGCCCCAACGTGATTCCTAATGCGTAGAACATCCGCGGGAATCTTCAGGGATCCGAAAGGTATGTTTGAAATCCTTCGGATATCATCGATCGTCGACCCTGTCCGTCGCACTGCAACGACTAGGGGGAAGGGGACGCAACATAAACATCGCACTGCACTCGCCGAGCGGCAACAAGAGGGGGGAAACACCACACGACTCCACTGCACTCCTCGCGCGGCAACGCGAGACGGCGCGACCAAATAATATTGTGCTCTGTCCGTCGCGTGGCAACGCTGGGGGGGGGCGAACAACGATACGAGTCGATTCTGCTCGCCGCACAGCCACGCAAAGAACAGACGAGCTGCTATTCCACTCTATTCGCCACGCGGCCACGCAAAGCTGCGGAGACGAATCGAATGCTACTGTACCCGTCGCTTGGCGACGCCTAGGGGGGGGATCGAATCATATTCGCCACGCGGCATCCATAAGGACGGGCAAATGCGACACCGCTCCGCTCGTCGCGCGGCAACGCAGGGGGCGGAAACGGTGCTATCCCAGTGTATCGCTGCGCGGCAGCACGCGGCGGCGGAAGCGCGGGAGCGATAGTATTCAACTCGCCCCGCCACGCGGCAATGCCTGGAAAGCGAACGCATAGCATCCTGCTCTACTCGTCGGGCGTTATCGTACGGAGCAAACACATGCGGCCCCACTCTGCTCGTCACGCGACAACGCAGCAAGCGGAAACAAGCCGCATTCGGCTCGACCCGTCACGCGGCAACGCCTGCATAACCGACAAAACCCGCCACCGCGCTTGCAGCGGCAAGAGGGCGTCGGGACTCCGCTGCTTGCGAAACAATAATTCCACACACGCACACGCACACACGCGCGTGGAGCCCAAGATGCGCTCACTGATTGCGGCCAGACCTTTGCGCGCTTGGCCTTCCAAGCAGGGGATGCCCCCGCAAAAAGCATTCGCGGGGGGAACGGTCCACGGCGTCCCCCCTCCCCGCCAGGCGCCCCTCTTCCCCCGCCCCCGCGCGCGCCCAAACGCGACGGCGGAATCGCGCGGCAGCGCAACTGGGCACCATGTTATTACACTCGCCGCGCGGCAAACTGGAGGCGGGACATACTGTTCAATTCTGCTCATCTCGGCGGTGGACAAACCTCCCTTTAGTAAGCCACCCTTTATTGGAAACGGCGTAAGTCCGAAACCGACGGACCTGGACCCGCGAAAATGACGGCCGCGACGCCCTCTCGCGAACCGAAACCTGCCAAGTCGCTAATCGACGCGTCAGGGTAGGAGGCCTACCAATCTCCGATCATCACGCGGTAACACGAGGGGTGCCGAATCAAGTACGATGCCGTTCGACCTGTCACTTGGCAACGCGGGAAGCAACCAGCAAGCTGCCCCGCACCCCAACTCGCCCAGGCGACGACCGCGACGACCTTCTCCTGCTTCTCATTGTCGACCTACTCCCCCTGCTCGCGGTACGCCTCGTCCTCCTTGTCTTCCGAGTTCGCCCTTCCTCCTCTTCTTCCTCCTCCGCCTCCTCCTCCTCCTCCTCCTCCTGCTCGTCGTCCGGGTGAAACGTTCGCTCTTGATCCTCGTCCCCCTCGTCCCCCACGTCGTCTCCCTTCGCCGCACACGCCTCCTCGTCGAAATTTCCCCCCAACGCCACCTCCTCATCATAAATTTCTCCGCGCGGCCGCGGCCCCTTTCAAGAAACACGGAAGCGTTGGCGGGCACCGCGCGCCCTGGAGGGCGCCGCTTCCCCCCCCCCCCCGCGAACAGTGTGACGCACGTGGAAACGCGGCGCACCGCTCCTCGGACCCCATCCTGCCTGCCCGCCACGTTCGGGAAAGACCGTCTAGCCAGACACGCCCAGAACGTGGGGGGAATCCGACAGCGGCCCTGGCAGGCCCCGAACACCATCCAGAAGCAGAAACGAGGTTTTGGTGCCAAGGCGCCAATAATGCGCTCCTTCCCTCCGTTTCAAAAGCCCTTTTCCCTTCGGGGTGGCGCGCATATCCCCACCTATCCCTGAGGTTTGGCTTTGGCGGGCCGCGATACGGCTGATGGGTCCTTTTTCGCTCAAGATGGTTCCCAAAAGTGGCCTCCAATGTTCCATATCGGCTCCCACAGCGGCTCAATTTCAGTAGAAGGCGGCGCAAGATAAGAGAGTTTCCGACATACCTCCCAGAGGCCCGACGAGGGCCACAACACGGTTTCAAATGCGCCCGGGGCCTCCGCAGCCCCCCCCCCAAGAGGCCCAAATCCTTCAACGAGGGCGACGAGACCCGCAGAACGCCCCTCCAGGGTGGGGGGCCGATTCGAACACATGGGAATCGAATGGTGTTGACCTTCTCGCCATTTCGCCCGATGCGCTCGTGAAGCCTGAAGGTGGCACCAAGATGCCCCCAAAGAGCCCAACGGTGGGCACAAGAGGCCCAACAACCCGCTCTATGAGCCCCCCAAATCACCACAGGAGCGCCCCAAAAAGGCCCCAAAGGGCGATTCCGAGAGCCTCATAAAAAAGGATTAAGCGTTACGACCCCCTCCTTTTCACTCCGCGATAGCCCCAAGAGGCCCTCCAGGGCTCCCAACAGCTCCCCAAACAAGCCCCTAAAGGGCACCACGAGGGCCCCAAGACCCCCCAACAGCCCCCACATGATCCCCTAAACAAGCCCCAAGAGGGCGATGTCCTCGTCCTCGTTGTGCTTTTCCTCCTCCACCTCCTCCTCGTCCTCGTCATTGTCCTCATCGTCTTCCTTGTCCGTTTCCTCCTCTTCCTCGTCGTCGTGGTCGTCGTCGCCGTCGTCGTCGTCGTCCTCCTCCTCGCCCTCCTGTTTCCTCCTCCTCCTCGCGCCCTCGCCCCCACGACGCAGGCCCCAGGGATGGCCCGAAGAAACCCTCCAAGGCCACCCCCTTGCTCTAGAGATCTTTCTGCTCCCCCATGGTTGCCCGCGCGAATTCTCTTTATGTGTCTCTTCGTCCTTTTGTCCCGTCATTTCTCGTGAGCGAGGTTTGTTTTTGACTTGGCGAGTGGCAGTACTTATTCGTTCGCGACCGTAGCAAGAAGTCGCGCGGCGTCAAGTCAAAGCGCGGCTAACGAGCAGCGATCAAAAATAATTCCTAAAACGGAGCCGAACGCGCGCAACGAACAAGCAGCGGGCAGAAAAGCAAGCTGAGCGGCAGAGGCGGGCACAACCGCTCAGAAGAACCCGGCGAGGACCAGGTAGCAGGCCAACATGGCTGTGAATTCGCAGGTACCCACACTGCCGTGGCGTCACTCAACGACCTGGTCAAACGTCTCTGCGGCGTTGGGGTTGCAAGTGCCGCCCGCCGAACCAGCATCCCATCGCAATCGTCGGGCACGGTGACGCATTACCCCTTCCACGTGGGCGAGCGGCCGTCGACGGAGACGTGGGACCAGTGCTGGGGGTGAGTGCCCTCCATCCAGGGGGCGCCCGGTCGGCAAGGCGCCATGGCCGCGCAATTGGCGCACCCCGGGGCGAGTCCTGGCCCCCGACGAGTGGGGATATTTTTGGTCAACAGGCTCGCGAGGCGGGTCGACAGCCGTCCGAACACTAGTCGGGCAGCGACTAGGCAGCAGGAGAAGAAAGGCAAACGAAGCGAACGAGCGGGCAGCCACTCAGAAGGAGAGCCAAAACCGATACTCCCAGACCCGGTGGCGTTGGAAATCCAGGTGGCGACCAGCAAGTAAGCGCAGCCAAAATGGCGCGGCGGCGCGACCATACACACGCAGAGGTCGATCGCCCGGTGTGAGTCAGACAAGCAGCACCGTCAGAAACGAACTAGACCGACAGGCACAGCCGGACGACATCCGTGCCGTAGGCGGCACAAATGCCAAAACATCGCGTCGGCGCAAGAGTGAAGAGGGGCAACCTCATCAAACGGCAATAAAACATGTAACACTCGTCGGGGATACGCAAAGCGCGGGGGGATACGCAAAGCGTGAAGAATTGCTCGACGCGGAGATTCGCTTCTCATCCCCTAGTATTTTCCACTGAGAACGCTTGGCTGTGAGCGTCTTGGTGTGAGTGTGGGTCCGAGTGGAAGACGGGTACGGCCGTTACGACGACGACGACGATGACGACGACGACGATGGCGGCGGCGGCGATGAGGGACAACGACGACGAACAGACAGACAGGCGGTGAGCAGGAGCTCTCGACTTTACTTCCTCTTCGTCCTCGTCGTAGCCCCTCTCACCTCCTCCTCCTCCTCCTCCTCCTCGTCCTGCGCCTACTCCTCCTCGTCCTCCTTTTCCTCGACGCCCTCATCCTCCTCATCCTCCTCTGCAACGGTCTCCTCCTCCTTGTCCTCCTCCACCTCATCCAACTTTTCTGATTTCAACGGCTAGTGCCCTCCGTGCTTCCCGGGTTCGACGAACCCCGTACTTCTAGGCTCGTGCGTTCCCTGCTTCATGGGCTCGTCTTCTTGTCCGCACTCTGGTTCGCGCCCCCGATTCCTGGGTGCTGCGCGTTTCCTTGGGCCGAGGTGTTTCCCTACGGGGGTCCCTCTGTAGAGGCACCCTAGATGGGGTCGGAGTAGATGGTGTCGGAAGATCGCGCCGCATCGCCGATACATCGGCGATGCATCGGCGATGCATCAGCGATGCACCGGCCATGTATCGGCGACGTCGGCGATGTATCGGCGACGTCGGCATTGAGAAAGTCGGCCTCCGCATCGAGCCGCATCGCCGATGCATCGGCGATGTGGCGCGATGCTCCGACCCCATCTACTCGGACCCAATCTGGGAGGCTCAGACCCTTCTAGTTCCTCGTGCTGATGCAGATATTCCATCCCCTCCCGCCTCCCCTCACCCATCACCCCTCCTCCTCATCACCTCTCCTCCAGCCCACACGTCCCACCGGGGCCGCCCGCCGTCCAGCAGTCTGTAGAAGGCCTGCTTCTGCAGGTCCGCCACGTTGCTCGGGCAGGTTTCGTCGAACAGGTCGAGCTTGTCCGAGGTGGTAGGGTCGAACCTCAGCGGCCCAGAAGGAGGAAGAGGAGGGATGAGCGGGATCAGGAACGGTCTGGCCGTTTTCGGACCCGCAGGGGCCTCACGGAGCCCCCAGGGGCGACCAGAAACCGCTCGAGTTTCTTGGCCTCGTGCGTCCCCACTCCGTGGGCGAGGCGACGTCGAGGTAGACTCGCGAAGCCCGGCCAAGCCGATCCTGGGCCCAGGACTGGGACTCGCGAAGGCACCGGCAGAGACACAGAACATCCGGAACAAGGCAAACGCAAAAAGCCTTCGGACGGAAATCAGAAGCCAGCGCGCAAAACTATCACGCAATGCCACAAGTCGAAGAAGACGAAATGCAACAGCAGCGTGCTGAAAGGCGTGCGACAAAAACTGCACAGGGAAATGCTCAACCCGAGCGAGCCGACTGGTAGCCTCGTAGGACGCACGATCTCGCTTGATCGGAAGGGGGCCGGAGGAAGAGAGGGGAGAGAGAAACGAGGAAGAATAGCAACGTAAACACATCGAGGATGCTAGGCGGAAAGCCTCGTTCGGTCTGCCCGCGTCCGAACACGGCTGGCCCCCACCCCCAGGAAGGCACCACCCAGAAAAGGCAAGGCACGACTGAGTACGCGTGTCCACACTCCGCTGGGCCCCCGAGAGGTGGCGACAAATGCACGCTTGGCCACACCCAAAAGTGCTGAAGCCGCACTCTGCGGGATGCCCCAGGGGCCAGAGGGCAGAGTGGGGACAGCTGCGCGTCCGCCGACATGTTTAGGGAGGCGCGGTCTTCCCCGCCCTCCACACACCCCACACCCCACCCAAAAGGCGCAGGAAAAGGAGGGCAGCTGCACGTTTAGTTGGAAACACCCATGGGGCGACGTAGAATTTCGGCTGAATTAGGCCACCAATCCGCTGGGCTGGGACCCCGAAGGGCACACGAGAGCGGGGACACTTGCATGGGTGCAACACCCAAGGGTGCGAGGCCTGATCACATCTGGGTTTGTCCGCACCTAGCCAGCCTCCAAAAGACGCAACAAGGTGGGTCAAATGTTATTTCAAGTCCAATCGAAAAACATATGGAGGCACGTCGCTCCGCAAGCGGAAACGGAAGGCGTGAGACACCAAGGCAACAAAGCGAACATGCAACAACACATGGCGGATTTGACAAGACTGGAGCACACACACATGCCCGCGCACGACCTATACATAAACAACCTGCAGTTATACTGCTTCAAGTATGACGCATGCTAAAAATCTGTATACCAGGGAAACGCTCCTGGCTGCAGATAACATGTGTTGGATTCGTGGCGTGATACTGTCGGGAACAATCGGTGGCATCGGTTCGCCTGCGCCGTGGTCGGCCTCGGCGTCGAATTCCAAACTGGGTCCAACGCAAAATTCGCGCAGGCCGCTCTTGCGAGTCCCATGTGACATCCTGCGCCGCGAGGCGCCACGGGCGACGGCCGAAAACATAGAGCCGATCTGACACGGGAAAGATATTCAAAGCAATGTGCACGTGCTGTTTGCACTGTCGCCCTGCTTCTTCCCATTTCGCTGGGAAGCTTTCTGAAGCAAAGGATATGGCGGAACATGTTGGAGCACGTTGGTGCAATTGGAGCACGCTGCTGTGCTGTCGTGGCCATGGCCGACCCTCAACAGAGGTAGGCGTGATAACAGCCACGAGAAACCTCAAAGACATGCGCAACGATATAGATGTATCAAGAATGTCTCCCATGCGCTGCACGCGGTACTTTACATTGCACGCCGATATGCTGCGCAAGCCTCCTCCGCATTCCTTGCCGAAGTATTTGTTGGCCCTTGGGGAGTCATGACAGGCAATTGGCAACCGGCAAGCTGCAAAACGAAAGGCTCATGGATGACGGTATCTGGTAACTGCAATGCCGCTCGAAAAAAACTCGCGTTCCCTCCGAATTCAATGCGAAGCAGCACGCTGCCAATGCTTCTGGCCACGCGTCCAGCATGCGAGTGGCCTGTGGAGCAAAGCGCGCATATAGCACAATGTGATCAGCATAACGCATGTTGCGAAGCAGGCTGCTTCGTCCAACGTCGCAGCCGCACTGCTGACCGCGCGCCTTAAGCCTCCCAGCTGCGCGTTCCAGGCCGACATTGAAAAGTAACCATGCCAAATCATCACCCTGCTTGACGTCTCGCGCGGCGTCGAACGTTGCACTGCCATTGGCGCTTCCACACTGGGCACTGCAAGTGTCCGACAAGAGCCGCGCGAAGTCTACATCAACTCCTTGCTGAGACAACGAATGCATGGAAAAGAACGGGATGCTCCAATCCTTCGACAGCTTTGGCAGGGCCATTGCTGGCAAACGACAGCGGACGCTCCCGCCCCACAACTTTCGCACAAAGATCCTCTAAAGCTACACAAGCATCGCCCACGGGGCGGCTGGAACAAAATCCTACCTGGTCACGCGTTTGCCCTCCCCCCCTCTCTGGAACGGGCTGCAAGCGTGCAAGAAGAAGGCGAGCGAATATGTTATATGTGACGCGAGCAATCGTAATAGGGGTGCCAGTTCCTTACGTTTTCTCTACTGCCTGTCTTCGACAGCAGGACAAAGCAGATGCAGATCTCCTGCCGCATGGGATCTGCGCGCCCAGTGCTGAGCAGCGAATGCAAGCGCGACAAAAGATGTCTGTGCAAAACGTCGCCGCCACACGCAAACATGTCAAGGGAAATGCCACGATTATCTTGGCACCTGCCACGCTTCACATGCTTACACATTTGCCACAATTCTTCTTTGCGAAAAGGTGGAATTGTTATACGGGCCTCCGTTGCAACGCGCAGCTGCCCACTCGTCCTTGGTAGCGAAGCAGCCCGCGGAACATATCCCGTCGAGAGAGGCCCCAAACGAATTGCAATATTATGGGCAACGTTTGCGTTGCTGCGAAGAGAACATGCGCGCGCGGGATAAATCTTGTATGCCTTCAAAACCTGGAAATGCGATCCAGCGCGAGACATGGAATATCCCAGCATGTGTTTCCGATGCTCTTGGGGAATTAGTTTCGACAGTCTGGGCCGCTCTTGTGGGCCACGTGTCTGTCGGTAGCACGCGCTGCTCTGAATTGGGGGTCTCCGCCGTTGCGGCTCACCTCCCGTTTTTGCCTCCCCGCCGGAAGCTTGCACCCGCGTTCCCTGGCGCGTGGCGCCGTCACCCACTGGGCGGGCGGGGCGTCCACCCAACCCCCGCCCTGGGCCCCGCAGGTGGCTGCCGCCCGCCGCCCTTGCAGGCAGCTGTCGCTGCCCCCCCTTTTGGGGGACACCTCCTAGCGGCCCCCCCCCCAGTTGTGCCTCCCCCGCGTGGGGGCCCTTGCCCGCGCGCCACTTGCACTGGGCACCGCCCTGTCCCAGGCTTTGATGCGTGCGCTTCTCCGCCGTCCGTTTTCGCTACCTCGCCCTGTGCAGCTTGTACCGCCTGGCTACCCAGCGGCGCCATGCCACTGTGCTGCCCGCGTTGCTGCGCCCCCGGGTCTGCCTCCTGGCGCCGCCTCTGCGCCGGCCGCGCGGGGCACTTTTGCCCGCCGCCGCGAGCCCCAGCTGCTGCGACCCCGCCCTGGCCCGCCAGCCGCCTGCTGCTCCCGCACCCCCGCTCGCAGGGCCTCGCCCGCACTGTAGCTGCTGGACCCGCCCTTGGGGGCGCCCGCGATGCTGCCCCGCGCCGCTGCCAACGCTGCCCTTCAGCCTGGCCGCCCCCGCGCGCTCTCCGCGGCACTGACGCGGAAGGGTGCCCCCGCGTCCCGTTCCATTCCTCCGCGGCCGCCCCTTTGCCCTCCACTTCCATTCTTGCACGCGGGCGAATTAACCACTCCGCAACCGAGTTTTGCTACGCGCGCGAGCTGATTGCCTCTGCCGCGCCGCCGCGACGGAAAAAGTGTCTCGCGGCGCTTCCGGCGCAGCCCTCGTAACTCTGGTGCGCCCCATGGCTCCGCAGGCGGGAGAGCATGGCTATTCTGGGTTGCTGATGGTTTAGCTGACACAGCAACGTGGCCCTCGAGTTCAAAGAGAGAGGATGGCGGAGATGCAGGTAGATATTCCTGCATTGCGCTCTCATATAGCAAATCGCGACCGTCGGCCTTCAACGAAAACTCATTGAACCGCATCGTGCTGGCGTCCTTTCCGGCGGCCGGGACTTGGACCTAGATTGAAACCCTTTGCAACGTGCGATGACCCGAGCCTAGATCTAGATAGACACTCTGGCAGCAAGACTGGCGATGAAACGAAGCATCATACTAGATATATAACTATAAAGATCAAGAACTCGCTTGGCGCCAAGCGAGCTTCTAAACGTCAGCGCGCAGGTGCATGTTGAACGCTGCCAACCTCAATGCTGTTCTCAAAACAAGACACTTGCAGTAGACACCCTCTCTCCGATTTCAGACTGGTGTTAATATCACCCTCTATGCATATGTTGCGGCCGCGCCTCCTAGCAAAACCGACCTTTCGCTGCAACAACGTGTAACATTGTGTGAGATTCTCGCGCGGGTATCACGCATAGGGCATTTAATCATACAGAAAGCAATGCGCAAGCATTGCCATTGGTATCGATGTCGACTGCAAGCGCTCAGCCGTATCCCGAACGCAGGGCTGTGACACCTCACGCAGCATGCAAGCAAACAACCACCCCAGCGTATTTGGACGGGTCGGCTGCGGCTATGAAACGATGACCCCCGTCGAGATCAATGTCGTCAGATGCTGCACGGGTCTCGCTTCAACAAACAATATCCCAAGATAGCTCTGAACAGTTCCCTCGCAAAAGCGCTTAACATATCAAGAGTGTGTACCCGTGCGTGTTTGCCAAACGTTCAACTCAAAATCAAGCTTAACATTCACATCGAATTGTGGTGAAACGTCTCCTGTAGCCCTCGACCAGTGCTGTCCCTAATAGTCGTGGCGCCCCTTGGCAGCACCCTTGGCCCCTCTTTTCTGTCCTGCAGACGACTGTTCAACAAATTCGTTGTACTCGCTCAGGATCGGCTACCATCGGGTGGTTG